GTGCATAAGCACCATTGTTTAGGGTACCCAGATATGTCACCTATCTCTAATCATCGGTTACGTTGATCCTACGATCCTATAATACGACCAAGTCTCCTGGTCAGGATTTTCATTCCCTCATACCAAGTTCTATTTTAATCTTCTTTCACCCATTACTTACCTCCACATATATCGCAGACCGTGGCAAGCTATTTGATGACATACGTAACACCAACCAACGTATTCCATTTAGGTCCAGCAGTGGCTCCAGTGGCTGATCGTGATTACCTAAAAGTCTGCCTCTCAAGCACCCACTTGGAAACCATATCGTGGTGGTGATCGTCGTCGTCCTTGTCAAACAGCTTCTTCAGTTTAACTCTAGCTAAAACCAACTGTTAGAAGGTTGTTGATCGTGAATTGAAATGTATTTTACATCACACCGACGAACTACAGCGTCGAACTAGCATGAATAATGCCTCAAATGAACAAAACTCGCACTCGGTGGCTATCATTTGCGCTGTGTACACACAACGGTGAGCAGAATTTGCTGAAAATTCTTTTATAGTGTCTGCTCGTGTACCGCTTCGTGCATGTCCTCTCTTGTCAGGTTTTTAAAACTCCCATTCTGTATTTTCTGTGTCCTTCTGCAAACACTTACATCCCATATGTTTCGTCCATTCATCTGCCTTGTAGCTGCCGGCCCAGTTTGGGGTCAGCATGGATACGAAGCTCGTTCAGCACGCGGTACCGGTCACCGTCGACGTCGTCTGGGACGGAAATCGAGTAATAAGTCGGTCGGGACCTGCTTGCCAGGTGTTCGGGGTAAGAAGGTTGGCCAACACCAGTATTTTCCTTCATTGGCCCCTGGTGAGTTGTTTTCTAACAGTACCCTCCCTCCAACTGGTCCAACTAGCAGTCACCAGATTCCAAACTACCTCCATTTACTATCTCTTTAATCCCGCTGCCAGTTACAGAATAATAGTGCTGAAAGCTTACTGATGTAAAAGATGCTTTTTGGTGTGATAACATCTCGAGAGAGAGTTAGGCATACATTGACCTGTTAGCTAACCGATTCCAATGAATCTTCTCGCATACGAGAGGATTGGTGATCACGCATTTTAGCACATTGCTGTCTCGTTTGTCCTTCACATGCATACTCTGTAGGCCAGAAGACCTTACAACGATATGTTCTGCCTCCTCACGCGAGCGATGCAGTTATTCAGCACAGTTCCTTGCTGCTTTAAATAGGTATCTGGTTCAGATATTGTTGCCTCCCGAGACGGGAGACTTCATACTATGTTATTTATGCCCCCACGCGCATCATAGACTGCAAGTGACCTCCTTTATCGTCTCATTGTTTTAACAGTTTAGGATTGTGTCCAGGTTACAAAGCTTGCAAATGCTAAATGCTTTGAGTTTTTTTTCAAGCTATGTTCACTCGCCTGATATAACCAAAGGGCAAACAGTGTTCAAAGAACAGAACACAGGTACAATTATAGTAGAAGCAATGTGTTGTGTACATTCTCTCAGTGATCTGGTTTGTTACCTCGATCACCCATCATTAAGCTTCTACTGAACAGCCTAGCTCACAAGACTGCGTAGGACGCTGCTGTGAGTACGTCATTCGTCGGGGTTGGTGTCGCGTCAGTTGAGATGTTTTGGAATCAGGGTTTTCTCCAATTCCCACCCCACCTACCCACCCCCCTCCTCCTAGACAATCTAGCTGCCGGCGGTTTGTCAACCCGATACTACCCCACCCCGAGATTAGCACTTGGTCCACTCACTTTAGTAGAAGCAGTCCCGCCGCGAAAAGGGGCTGCGAGTCAAACGTTCTCAACAGAAGTTATGATTACCGGTACTTACTACGTTATCTGGAAGGGAAACCAAGAGGTTGGATTCCGTTTATTGCAACACCGAACTTTGACCGTGCACCCGTATTTGACAGGAATTAAAGCCATGGAAAAATGAGCCGTGCTGATCGAGATACAAACTGGTTGGCATGAGTGCACGTGAAGGTAGAATCGTTTATTTATCTGCGTCTCATAGTAAACAGAAGCTAGAGAGTGTGCTGGCTACGTGGCTGGTGATAATGAGCTATTTATAGTGGTTTTTCAACCCATTCCATGATTCTCCAGAAAATAACAAAAGATCGAAGAACACCCGGTCGAGGCAGACGATTGTTTCCAAGGTTTCATTTACAAGCCTGCGTAGATCATATAAAAATTTGGTGTGTAATGCTTGGTCTTTCATTCGGTCAAAGGTCATGCGGGAATGGGGTGCGTTGTATCGTGAATCCACACAT